TATAAAGAATTTTAGAATGTCTTGCAATGTACGTTCAACTTTGACTAGTTAATCAAAAAGTTTAAGATACTAGATTGAGTAAAATACATATCATTTAATTATTATCTTTAAATAACCCCCTTGTAAGCAGAATTTTTTTTTTTTTTTTTAATAAAGCCTAACACGTGCACAATTTATATTTAAATGGGTGATGGCAAGACTTTAACTCATATTAGGGTATATTTTAGTATCTAATAAATGTGGGATTAATCCCTTAATACGTATTAGGAGTTATTTAAGACATGATAAAATTCTTTGGATTCGCAGTCAATGATAGTGAATGAAATATCGGAGATAAGACCTAATCTAGTTATATGAATTAATTAATTGACTTCTTAGGGTCCAACCAAGAGTGACACCCCACCAAAACAAATAAAACCCAACCAATTTGACAGTCATTTTTCTTTCAATGAATAGTGAAAAGAATATTAAAAAGATAAGACTAGATAAAGAAGAAATATTAATTTAAAACCTAAATAAAAAATAACAAAAAAAGTATTATAAAGAAGTAACTTATAATAGGTGGAGCAAAAAGATAACAATATTTTCTAAATACCCCATATGATGTAAGTAAATTATTATTTCTAAGTATAAGTTAGTTGATTAATTGATAATAGATTAATAATACACAAAAAAATAAATAAATAAATAAAAAATATATATATATATATATATATATATATATATATATATATATATATACCTACAAAATTTTTTACACGTGTTCCTGTGGACATAGTTAAAGCGCAAACTGAAATTGATGGATTGAGGGCAAGTGAGGGGAACACAATTCCGAATTTTGATCCTCCCGTGGCCTAAAATCCCTTCTTTAATCATTGTTTCCCCCACTAAATTCTACAAAATTTGCATAATAATCTCATGTTTGGCAAAATCTAAACGTCTCTTTTTCATTGGTTTCATGGTTTACACCACCATTTCTTCACTTTATTATTATAGTCAGCTTGAGTTAGTGGACTCAATATCAAGAAATAGGATTAAATAAATATTAAATAGGTCGAAGAAAAGAAAGAAGTAGACCCAAAATTGATTTGTTGCGAATCTACAAAGAATTTTATCTCATCGAGTAGATTTAGTTCTTGAATCAGATTTTGTTGTGACTCTATGAAGAATTTAGTTGTATTGAGTAGAGATTGTTCTTGAACCATGTTGCGATGTAATAGATCATAGAATCAAGAAGTTTAGTTAAACTCTAATTTAAGGATAGAATTGAACTTTTTTAGAGGGGCATGCGACAAAAAGATTTACGCGTGTTATTATGATGCAAACAAATCTAGTAGAAGAAAATAATGAATAATTTGTTTTCGTAAACTCGATAGTCGCTTACAGAATGTCAACTATTATTTTCCATTTAAAAGGATGGAGGGGAGAGAAGATTAGATTAGGGAGCTTTATAATGTCAATAACTATATAAGTCATTTGCAGAGAAAGCTCTTCGAACTTCTCTTTAATCGTTGCTAATCTAAGGTTTCGGGATCTTTGAGCTAGCCGGCACATTTTCGAAGAATCTCACACCAATGCATGATCATCCGGCCTTCCCTTTTCGTGGGAGCTTTATTGGCATTGTCCAGTTCTCCGTATAAATATTTGGAGAGAGCTATGCTCCGCGAGGTTATCTTCTCCAAAAAAATAATTTTTCACCGGAAAAGAAATGCAAAAATATTGTAAACTTGTATTGAATTAAGTAGTATTAATGAATAGCGAAAATACGAAGTGGGAGGCTCTTGGGCCAGCCGACAAATCCCGTTTAAACGGTACAACGTGGGTTTTTGTAAGGAATTTATGTGGCAAGTTTTGCTTTTAACAATTGAGTCTAAACCTTAATATGCATCACTTCATGCCACTGTCTGGGTAGTGGCGGCGTACCCTTGCGACACCACTATCTCCACCAATTCTTGCCGGTGGTGCCATCTTTTCAGTCTTATTTGTATAATTTATATTTTCTTCAACGTTGTATATTTGACCCAACAAACTTATATTAGAATATTGTATCCTCAATCATTAAAACGGGCCTAGGTTAAACGTTAATTATTAATGACTCAATTGAAGTAAAAAACAAAACATTGAATAATATAAACAAACAATAAGAACCTGAAATATTACACATTGTATTGCTTACGTCCATTTGACACGATTTTTACATCTTGAAGAGCATTTGAACGAGCAGGGGCAGACCCAAGGGGTAGGGCCTATCCTGTATTTGTCGGGGTCCGAGATAAAGTCCAAAAATTAGGCCCCCAAAATCAACGTAAATGTAAAATTTAACGATGTATTATGCAACATATTACCAACTTAAAACTTAACATTAAAACAACAAACAAATATCTTAATAATCTCACAATTAATGAAAAAATTATTTTCCTTTTCCTTCTTCTAATATTTAAATAAAAAAAAATTTTGGGCCAAAATAGGCCCCTTTATGGTCTTGGGCCTGAAGCACGGGCCTCATTTGCCTGACCATAGGACCGACTCTACCAAGGGGGATCCCATAGAGTCACTTGACCCTCCAGTTTTTGAAATATTATATTCTTAATATCATTTTGAAGTATTCACGGCCTAATATTTCACGTCATTAATGGTGTGCGAAATGGTCAATCGTAGCAAATGTTATGATGCGTCAAAGTAGGTCGTTCCAAACTAATATTTCGAGAATTTTAATAACAAGTTAACTTTAAAAATTTATCGACAATTATACGTTAGTCGTATCCATAAATCTTTTATATCCTCTAGAAGCTCATTTTGAAAACTATATCATAAATATATCGAATAATCTAAATGAATATCCAAAATAGTTAAACATACGTCAAACATGTATGCCAAAAAGAGACCCATAACTTGTCTTTTAAAAAAAAAAAAATCAATTATTTTATTGATGTTTATTATTTTTGCGTGACAAATTTCTCAATATAATTTACACCATTTTATTAGGAAATTTTGTTTGTGGTATGACGTCAAATTTTGTTTTGGACGTAAAAATTCTTAATAAAATTTTTATTACTTTATAGGGGTTATAAATTGTTATACTACATTTTCATCTTGATTATTTTTATATTTGAAAAGAAAATTATATATAAAAAAAATTCAATCATTTATAGGATTTTTTTTATTATTGTTACATTTTCCTCTCGATCAATTAATTATTTTTCAAATGACGTCAAAATTTTATTAGAAAATTCATTAGATTATTTAAAAAATTAATTGATTGAGAGGAAAAAGTAACAATAATAAAAAAATTCTAAAAATGATCGAATTTTTTTATATATATATATATAAATTTTAGATGAAAAAATAATATAACAGTTTATAACCCATATAAAGTAATAAAAAAAATTTCGTCACTTATTTTAAAATTTTAATTGTGACCCTTTAATATAGAATGTCCGCGTCCGTCCTTACAAACGGGGATCTTAATCTCGTTCAATATTATATACTAAACTTTGCATCCTAAAACACATTGAATCAAGAGCCTATCTTTTGAATAAAACATATTATCTCGTCAAATTGGGTGACCTTTTGTTTCCCTTAATTAAAGATTAACTTCCTCCTTTACTTAAATTGGCACTCTTCCTTTAGCTGTACTCCGCAAAAGTAGAGAAAAGAAAAGGTCAAATTTACAGCCACTGGATGGCGTTCGGCTTGTGGGACCTAACGCCGTCACTGGGCCAAATTAAGCCGCCGTCTAATAAAAAGTAGCCAAAGTGGGGTTGGGGTCTGGGAGACAAGGACTTGATGGTACGCGTGTTTAGTTTGGCCTTTTGGGGCGTGGCTAGCGGCTCTTGATAACTCTCTCGGCTTGAGCCGATTATTTTCCATGCAGAACTTGTTGTATGTCATAACGGCCATATGTTAATCGGCTTGGCTTAAGAATTCGATAATTATCAAATGGGTCCTCATATTTTTTTAATTAAAAATGAATAGTACACGATTTGTTTGGTTTGAAGGCCTACACGTGATAATTTCATTAGACACACAACCTTATACTTCTTATATTTGCTTTTTTGCCCAAAAACAATTTTTTTAATTACCAATTTCACCTGCAATCATTTATAAGTTAGGTGATGAGTGATCTTTTATTTGACCTACATGCATAGAATGGACCATACAAACTCCTCTAAGTATTACAAGGAAAAGAATAAAATATATTTTCGACTAATATTATCGATAAATTTAAAGTTATTTCTATTATTCAGTCTAAGTTAATTTTTTCCCAAAAACTTCATTGAAATGGAGCCCAAACAAGAGCTTAATGTTGTAGGAGCGTATGAGATGCACATAGAATGGACCATACAACTGGCTTGGCTTACGAATCGATTCTATGAGATGCACGTAGAATGGACCATACAATCGGCTTGGCTTAAGAATCGATTCTATGTTATTGAAACAAAAGGAGTTATAAGAAGCTCAATTGTCGTCAATTGCAGAAGCAAATTAGTACGGTGATGCCATGTCAAGAACTTAGAGTAATAATGTATTGAAAAAAAAATTAAAAAAAAAATCACTTCTATAAAGCAAAGTTACTTATTTTAATAATAAAATAAATTTGTTTGAAAAATAAGTAATTTAACTAAAATAACCAATAAGTATATACTTGCCTATAAATAAATTTTAACCTTAGCCAATCATGCAATACTACTTGCCCCCAAGAATCGAATCGTACGTGGAAGACATGAACGAGAAGAAGAGTTCAGAATTTCAAACCCAAAAGAAAAAGAAAAAGTTCTCTCATATGCATATATACATGAAAGTGATTTTTTAATAAGTAATTTTGTGAAAATTAATTTTTTTTAAAAGAATATGTAATAAAAAATACAAAAAATTATGAATTCAGATGTAAAAAAAATTTATTGAGAAAATAAATAATTAAAAATAAATATTTGAAAAAAATTAAAATCAAACGTACACTAAAAATTAGTAGCAGAAAGTACTCCTTTCATTCTCATTCTCACTGTCACACTCTCTCTGTCTTTATTTTTCTCTCTCTGCAACACACTATAAAGAAAGACGAAAGAAAACTTGTGTCCTTGAAACTTCTCTACTTTTGAGATCTCTCTCGCCGCCCTTTTTTTGCCAGAAAACTTGAATACCATTTAACTCAACTTGATTACTTGTAGCTACACAAATTTGCAATAATTTCTGGGTTATGCATTGAATTCTCACTCTTCTTTTTCTTTGTCTGATTTATTTGTTTCATTTTCTGTCAATTCTTGGAAACGAACAAATATTAAACCCCCAGCAGCTGCATATATATCCATCTCTTTCTTTGATTTCGTATTGATTGAGTAAAAGGTGTGTTATTTCATCATCTGAGATCTGGGTTCGAGAAAGAGACTGATCGAAAGAAGGTATTTGAGAAAGTGAAAGTGGGATTTTTGCTATGAAACCGGGGGTGGGGGTGAGGTGGGGACTTACAGTTTTCTTTGTCTTATTGAGTGTCGTTTCTTGAATTTGTAGATCTGCTGGAATTTTAAGGGTCTTTTTTTGGTAAAAAAAAAAATCAAAGAAAATGTTGCATCAGAAGCAAGCAGAAGAAGCTATTGTCACCACCTTCAATGAGACTGAACAAGGTGGCAGGGAGGAGAAGCAAGTGGAAGAGCAACCCATTTTCAGTGTCAAGAGTTTCCTCTGGCACGGCGGCTCCGTTTATGATGCTTGGTTCAGCTGTGCTTCAAATCAAGTATATGCACAGTGCATAACCATTTTTACCTGATCAATTCTGATCAAATTAAACATTTCTTGAACTCATATGTTTGATTTTGATCATTTTGTTGCAGGTGGCACAAGTTCTATTGACATTGCCATACTCATTCTCCCAACTGGGAATGCTATCCGGAATTTTGTTTCAAATATTCTATGGCCTAATGGGTAGTTGGACAGCCTACCTCATCAGTGTTCTCTACGTCGAATATCGAAGTCGAAAGGAGAAAGAAGGTGTTAGCTTCAAGAATCATGTCATTCAGGTTCATCGATTTGATTTGATCGACAATTTATTTATGAAAATTGTGCACGTCTCAGACCAGATAGAAGAACCCATTTGAATTAATTCTTTGTCCATTGCAGTGGTTTGAAGTGCTGGATGGATTACTTGGTCCTTATTGGAAAGCTGTGGGTTTAGCCTTCAACTGTACTTTTCTGCTATTTGGATCTGTCATCCAACTCATTGCTTGTGCAAGGCAAGTAAAAAAGGGAGGAAAATAAAAAAGAATCTTTATTCTTTTAGTTTTTTCCTTATTTTAATGTTAGCTCCAACTCAATTCGAAAATAACAACCTTGAAGTTTGATTGTTACAGTAACATATATTACATAAATGATCGACTGGACAAGAGGACATGGACTTATATATTTGGAGCATGCTGTGCCACTACAGTTTTCATTCCTTCATTTCACAATTACAGAATTTGGTCATTTCTAGGCCTCGGAATGACAACATATACGGCTTGGTACTTGACCGTAGCAGCCCTTGTTCATGGCCAGGTAATAATTTAAGTAACTTTTTTACTTATAAGTAAAACCCGTTACATAGTCGATGTTGTTTAGTTTGGTCTTGGTTTTATCCAGTTATATTTTTGACAGGCTGAAGGTGTGCAACACTCGGGTCCAACGAAGCTGGTTCTATACTTCACCGGAGCCACCAATATTCTTTACACCTTCGGTGGACATGCTGTAACTGTGTAAGCCTTTTTTTTTTTTAATTCAATTTATAATTATGTGTGAAAATTACCTTTTACTCCTCCATTGCTTCCATATGGCTTCTTATTGGCAGCTTTTGCCGGCCACCTTGGGTTTCTAAACCAAGACAGAATAATAGGAACTCCTTTTTCATTGTTTACCAGAAAAACAACATTAAAATTACCCCACCTCACCCCACACCCCTGTAAAAAATTAGTAAAACAATTGGGCAACTAGTGATTAAAAAAATAAATAAATAAATAAAAATAAAAGTTAATTCTTTTTCAGAAATTATTGAATGGTTTTTGTGGGTGCACTGGTCTATTCCAAAGTTACCTCCAGTTTGATTCCCGTTCTTTTGAAAAAATACATTCTTAAACAGTATTTTGACACCGTTTCAACCACATATTCTTCAATAAAATAATATTACACTCAAATTCAAAACTTTTTCTTATTTTTTAACCACACATTTTCCATCAATACACTATTCAAAAATGCATTCTTATTTTAAAAAAAAAGGGCTCAAACAAGGGTTAATCTTTAATAGGTTTCAATGGTCTTTTTACGTGTGTAATCGGACCGATTCCTGATTACTGGCTTTTCTGGTCTGTTTTTATAGCATTAAACTTATCTGGTTTGTAGTATGTTTTATTATCTTGTCCATATTATTTTTATCAGACTCTATAAAATGAGTGGCAGACAATGTGATTTAGGTCTCGTTTGACAAGGCTTTTTCAATAAGTCAAAAGTAGAATATTTGGAAGTGTTTTATCTGTCTTGAAGAGTTTTCGGAGAAAGCTAAGAAGCTCCTCTACAAGAAGTCGAAGCACAAACCTGCCAAACAGACGCTTAACATAATATTGAAAGTAGGAGGCTGAGGTTATAAAAAGTAATAAATAAATTATAAAAAGTAATAAATAATTTTTACTCGCAAGGTTTAGGTTAATTTGTAATGATATGCACGCAACATAGAGCTGGTGGGGAAAGCGAAGTTTAGCAAACAACCGGTGGCTATTGTGTCAAACATTGAACTTTCTCATCAAATAAAAAGACGCATCACATCTTAAAAGTGTAGTGACTATTATTTGAAAGTAGTTGTTCATCTAACAATAATTGCATAACATGACAAAGGAACACTTAACAATTATCCAAATTTCTTGTTTTTTTATAAAATATGTTGGTGTTACTTATCTTAAATTAAATGGCCTTATTCCCTTCAATAATTCAATGAATAAATCAACTGTTTGTTTCTCATCATTTGAAAAATTAAACAGGGAAATTATGCATGCAATGTGGAAACCTCAAAAGTTCAAGCACATTTACTTATTGGCCACATTATATGTTTTCACTCTAACCTTGCCATCGGCTTCTGCCGTCTACTGGGCGTTCGGAGATCAGCTCCTTGACCACTCCAATGCCTTCTCCCTCCTCCCCAAAACTGCTTGGCGGGATGCTGCCGTTATTCTTATGCTCATTCACCAGGTTCGTTAATTATTTCATGGGGTAAAAACCATTGTTAATCACCCAACTTATAGCGACGATTGTTTGATGTTAGTAGCCAATGAGTTTGTTTATTTGGTTAAATTTTGTTAATTTTTCTAACGAAATGTTGAATGCGAGAGGAATAATGCTATTTTTCATCATTGTTGACCATTATCATGCCAACCTGTTTGACAACATAATAGCATTAAATGATAAGTCCAATTACATGTTGGGATATGAAACCCATGTTATTGGACTTATCATTCAATGCCATTTAAACATGATGATGGTCATCATTGATGACAAATAGCATTACTCATGTGAAAGACCTCCATGCTGTGCCACATTAGATTAAAGTGTACCATGTCAGATCGACCGCTTTGGAACAAAATAAATACCCTTTTGTATGTGTTCTTACACTAAATGAATGATTTATTTATTTATTTTTCGTGGTTTGAACAGTTCATTACATTTGGATTTGCATGTACACCATTGTACTTTGTGTGGGAGAAGGTAATAGGAATGCATGACACAAAGAGCATATGTTTGAGAGCAGTTGCAAGATTGCCAATAGTGATTCCAATCTGGTTTTTGGCCATTATTTTCCCATTCTTTGGCCCCATAAACTCTGCAGTTGGAGCACTTTTAGTGAGTTTCACAGTCTACATCATCCCGTCTCTTGCCCATATGCTTACTTACCGAAAAGCCACTGCTCGTCAGGTAACTTTAATTCCGGCCGCGCTTTATATTACAACAATTTTACAGATACCTTTGCAAGTTTCCAATATAGTACACGATAAAACTCGACAATAGAATAGATATTTTTTGATTAACTACTAGTCATCTTGTAGTTTGTGGTTTCCGTATATTTCTTTAGAATGTTTGATTGGATTCGTGTCGATTGAAGCATGAATTATTTGTGTTGATAATTGCAGAATGCTGCAGAAAAGCCTCCGTTTTTCATGCCAAGCTGGACAGCCATGTATGCACTAAACATATTTGTGGTAGGTTGGGTTTTGGTGGTTGGATTCGGGTTTGGAGGATGGGCAAGCATGACAAATTTCGTCAGACAAGTCGACACATTCGGTCTCTTTGCTAAATGTTATCAGTGCAAGCCTCCAATACCGGCACATCAATCTCCTGTAGCGCCCCACCACTAAGGACTTACATGTCGCCGGTGACACGCCACCACCACCACCAAGAGGGTCACACTTCTTCGACTCAGTAAAATGTGAAAGTTTTACCGATTAACTCGTCCCTTCATGCTCTCTCATGCACTCTCTCTATGGTTTGTAATATAGGGGAGATTGCAATGTATTCCCCAAAATGTGAGGTGTGTTTATCTTTTCTTTTATTTTCCGAATAGTATTATATTTTTCTTTTAATATTAGATAATATAAGAGTGTTGAATTGAAATTATTCCTTTGCTATCAAAGTACAGGCTTCTTTAGTCATTATAACAATGTAAATTTAAATATTTTCCTCTTCTTTTTGTTCGAATTTGATATTGTAACATATAGATGAGTTGTTGTTGGCTCTGAGTGACTCAAGGAAGAAGCATGTATGGGTACCATCAGCTGGCTCTGACTTGAATCTAATGTTAATCAAATGAGCATTTCAATCCAATAAAAAACAACGATCAGATTGGAAACTGTAAAAGTGGTGATAACGGTCACATTCCTCACCACAAAATATTTAGGAATGACAATAGAACGAACAAGAACAGCAAAGCATGTCGGATTATATCAAAATATTTTCATTTTTTGCTTTGCTTACATATTTGTTTATTTTATTTATTATTTTAATTATGATTTATATTTAAGAACATAAAAACGAGAATCGAACAATTTTAGGTACCATCTTTCTCATTCTTGTTCCAATTCCCTAATAATAAAAATCAGATTTTTAGTAAATTTTGATAAAAGTTGATGAAATATGTGGTGAAAATAAAATATTGACTTTGACTTATATTTTAATTAACTTTCGTATTGTTAGGGCTCTCTCTCTCTCTCTCTCTCTCTCTCTCTCTCTCTCTCTCTATTTATTTATTATCATAATTATTATTATTTTGACATGGTATTGTTTCTTATAATAGGATGCCCAATGTTTGATTGTACTTAAAAATTAATAAATGCCTTATTATTTTGTTATAGTTCTTGCAAGAAATTAACGTCATTGTGCAATACTACGAGTATTTTTGGCTTCATATTTAATTCAACTTAAAGCTAACTTTTACACCTAGTCCCTAGAATGGGATATCGCACGACTAAAAATTTTGAAAACTCAACACACATTTAAGAGTGACATGCTCGCAAATCTTGATTACGTTCTTCTCATCAACTTTTGAGGAGTGCTCCAATGGCTGTATAAATGGCATTCACTATTGGTAAATTCTTGTATTTATTTGACTTGATAGTGTAATATTTGATTTCATTATGTTTATAGGCGATCAACATCCCGAAGAGGGCTATGTGCATGGACCAAGTGCAAAAGCTCTTTTTAAGAACCCCTCTACACATACAGGTTGGAAGATTACAGAGACTTTACAGACACTCACAAACAAAGGTAGGGTGAGTATTTTTGGGATAATTTTTTAATAAGGTGTCTTGTGGGCTATCTGTAAACCCCTACATATAGCTTTAATCTTTTAAGAAGTAGGCTTTCCTAAATTTTCGTGGCATCTGGATGGCCAAAGCACGCATTTATTTTTTTCGATTTCTTGGGCTCATATATTCTGAACACATTGACCAAACTAATATCTCACTTTAGTGATTTGAACATATAAAGTAATGTTCGAGTTTTTGAAAATTGAAAATTTGGAAATTATGGCAGGAGTTGTAATAGTTATGATCTTAAATGTTTAATATAATTCATTACTAGTTCTATAATTATTAAAAATATAGTTAAAATAACACTTAAGTTCATAAAGCTTGAAACTTGATCTTACAACACATTTTATGCTTTTTAGAATACTGAATACAATTAAAAGAAGCCCCCGGGGCACTTCTCCATTGGCAAAGGACGGGCTCTTTCAGTGCTGACAGATTAGAGGTCGTGAATTCAATTCATGAAGCTCTTAAAAGACAAGGATTTATTCTTGGAAGGCAAGAGAAATCTTGAAAGGCAAGGTGCAACTTGAATAGGCTTGCTAAGCACTTTGACAAATCAGTTGGGGAGGGCTCGGACCCTGACTAGTTGGAAGCAAATCCCGCGGTTAACTGGACTGTGTGAAGAGGGGCCGGATCACAGACCCAATAATTCGTCAAGAATTGGACACCTTGTAAAAAAATAATAATAATAATAATAATATTATAGTAATAATAATAAGGAAAATCATGTTTTTATTATGACCCATTATGAAATGCCACCCAAATTAGTGTTTTGCACCGTTGTAACTATCATTATTCTATTTTTAAAGTTTCTACTCAACTTTCACAAATAACGCCTGGTTTCTCAATTTTTTTGGCACACAATAGACGGTTGAGATCATCCTTAAATTCATATGAGATTTCTGTAAAGTCTGGCTAAAAACATGCCATTTCAGGCACACAGTGCGCTCCTAATTTAACCCTCCAAAGTAAAATACAAATTTCTGCAAAAAATATCCCTCTGGCAACCATTTGTAAAATAAATCTTTGTGCCCTTTACGTGAAATTTATTCACTACAAAGTCGATTGTCATCCAATCAATACCTCGGTAAGTGAGTCCGATATTCATAGACTCTTTTTTCTGTGTTGTGAATCACATTGGCTATCTTCCTCTACCATAAGGCAAGATGGATTCATAACCTCCATAGTCCATAATATGTTGAGACAAAGGCATTGCTTCATGTTGTGTGAATCACTTGGTGAATTCCATCATCCATTCTTCATTCATATGGACCACAGCAACAATAGATCTTCATGGACGATACCAATCATGAAATTTAATGACGAAAGACCACACCCCTTGATGATCTTTCACCGGGGGGAGTTAGGATGATTTTGCACATGATGATTCATTCCATTGGATGAAGTAGTACTCGGTCCACTCTCAGCTATCTGTAAAGCATTTTCGAACAGAAAAACGTATATTAATCAAGTTCATTTCGGAACTCAACAGTAGCAAAAGCTCAAATTGGGTCAAGAAAAAGTTGGCAGAAGAGTTTACAGACGTTAAGGAGATTCCTGGCGACAAATTCCACTACCTTTTTACAGACGTTAAGGAGATTCCTGGCGACAAATTCCACTACCTTTCTAGCTATACTAGAGATAGAACGTAGAAAGAACAAGATAATATATTATGCAGCAAAACCTTGAATCTCTCCAGAGCAGAATGGTACCAAAAGTGTTTGCCAATGATGAGAAGCTACTGCATAATATTAACAGGGCAGTGTAATGGAACAATTTGCTACAGATATATAACACGCATGATGTGGTGAAATATGATTGGATCAGAATTTCTTCCCCCCCCCCCCCTCTTTTTGACACGTGTGTGTAAATCATTAGGTAACTCCATTATGTACAAGTAGCATTATTCATAATAGAAATCCCCGAATGGTTGTGTGCAGATTTATCAAAAAGCGCAGTTCACAAGAAAAACAAAGGGAATAGACTAAGAGCTCCCATAAACTCACTCATTAGTTACTAGTCATACAAAGGGCAACATTGTCTCTACAAAGTTTGACTGAACCTGGACATCTCGAAATATTGTATGCCAAAATAAAATTAATCATTCGATGAAAACCCAAAATAAAAATGTTTTAAGGAAGGCTAAAAGCACAAGGGAATACTTGGATAATGGTAGGGAACTAGGGGCTGATTCACCAAATTCGTAACTCTAAAACAGGAATAATGAAAGCATAGATGAGACAGCAGCAGAGAACATGATACAACTCACTCCATACTTCCCTGTTTCCACTCTAGAATCTGGTGCTACCATATTCCAAGAGTGGCTTAACCCCAAACAATCAATACTCGAAATATTTCCACAAAACCTTATCCAAACATCACGTATTTTCGAACAAATAAATTAATCAACCATGAGGGACATTGTCAAAATTCACACCTCCGTAGGATTTTGATTTGGAAATCCATTATTCTCTGGCCGTTCATCTGGCACAGGATTGACGTCGTCCCAGAGAAACCCATTTTCTCCCTGTACAGAGATTCTATCCAAATCATTGTCCACAGCTCTAGAATGAAGTGCAACATAAGATATGTAGTTGTCTGCATCATCACAAGTGAAAAGAAAAAATAGTGTCAATATCTCGGCATGCACGAACCAACTAATAACATTAACTAGGAGTAAGATCATCATCTTCAATAAATGTCTTGCAAATTAGAGCTAGTAAAATTGCTAATAATGAAGAAATCTAAAATATTGGAGAGAAAAAGACATGCATCAATATAAAGAGAGCTTGTGCATATATGTAGTGAGACATGCCCTAAGAACAAGTTCTGGCCAAAATTTTTAGAAAATATATAGGGATATTGTAGCTGAAATCAGCAAAATAGCACTGGTTCACACTCTATATGTAGAAAATTTTAAGAAGTGAAATCAATAAGATCAAGTTTACATTTCGGTAAGATGTTCCAGATTATTGACACATTTACAGAGTTTTGCCCATCTGTCATGAAAATTGAAAGATTCACATAGATCACAATGCACATACATGAATAACTGCCGCTGATAAAGTGAAGTATGTGTAATCTTCATTTCAACAATATAGGAGAGTACAACCTAAAAGCAATCTTACCTGCTAAGCCACGAAGGGCATTCTCAGCAGCCCGTTGCTGGGCATCCTTCCTTGTCCTGCCCATCCCAACGCTGATTTTTTCACCAGTAAAGAAAACCTACACGTTGATTCAGCACATTGAGCCTCCATCTAATTAATTTAGGCTAACTCATCACAAAACAATGGGCAGTATCGAATGGTGAGAGATCGTTGAGCATTGCAGGACACTGAGCAGCATTACAATCATTTAACAGATTAAGGAATTCTAAAGACTAACCACTTGGGCCATTTAAGTCTAAAAGAACAGTGAATGATCAATTTAACATTGCCTCGTAAAAGAAATAAATCGATTACAAAGAGCACATCTGGTCTCAGCAATTAATTATTGCAATAATCACCTGTAGTCCCACAGCATTTAACATTGAAGAATTGCACATCAATGTAATTCCAAGGGAGACTACACTTGCCCAAGTTGCGTGTCCAATTTAAGTGAGTAACTGTAAAAGAGTCTTGCACGTGTAGCTAGAAACTGGCTAACCAATATAGGTCTACTGGAAAGCAGCCAAAGGGGCTTGTTAAGCCTCTCACAGCAACAGGCTTGGCTTTGAGTGTTACAGATGGTATAAGAGCCACATACATGGGATTCTATTGATGTCATGAAAACAGGCAGGTTAAACATACACCTGGTGAGAAAAACATAGTGGTAAGTCAATAGGTTCTCTGTGCAAGAAGGATGCGGCCATGGTTAAAAACTGACGA